TAAATGCTTGGCTGCTAACCAAGGTTGGCGGATCGAACCTACCCAGTGGCTCTAAGGGAGAAAGAGCTGGTGATCTGCTTCCATAAAGACTATCAACTTAGGAAACCCTATGGGGCAGTTCTACTGTCACATGGTGTCATTATGAATCCAAATCATTGAGTATCTTTTCACAGGCTTATTGACATTTGCATATTTTCTTTGGAGAAATGTGTATTCAAGTCCTTTGCCTGACTTTTGATTGTGTTGTCTTTTTGTTGTTGAGTCATAGGTGTTCATTATATATTGTAGATATTAAACACTTATCATATATGTGATTTCCAAATATATTATCCATTCTGTAGACTGGCTCTTTACTTTCTTGATAAAGTACTTTGATGCACAAAAGTTTTTAATTTTGATGATGTCTAATTTATTTATTTTTTTCTTTTGTTGCTTGTGCTTTTGATCCATATCTAAGAGTCCATTACCAAAAACAAGGTCCTGAAGATTTGCCCCTATGTTTTCTTTTAAGAGTTTGATTATTTTTAGCAAATATATTTAGATCACTTATCCATTTTAAGTTAATTATATAGTGTGAGATAGGGGTCCACTTCATTCTTCTATATGTGGAAATTTTTGAGACCTTGTATGCCTGTGAATGTTTTTATTACATCCTCACAATTAAACGACATTTTGACTGTTCTGTGAGATTACCTTCATATCCGTCTCTTATATTCCCTCTTTGGATCCAAGCTAGTTTTAGTTCAGTTTCTGACATCTGCAACTAAAAAAATTCTAAAACAGTAATTTTTTAAAATGCTCTAATAATCATTACAGCACTTGAATATTTGTGATAATTCTAAGAAACGTTCACAAGTACACTGTGTTTTATAGGTAAGACAATTGCTGGCAAGTCCATGAGATATTTTGAAATGTAAGAACAAAATTGTTTTTGTGATGTATAACACTGGTATTCAAAAAGTACACAAGACAAAAATGTACCTCAAAAGAAACTATTGCAATATTAACACCTGTGTAACCATCTCACAGGTAAGAAATAGAACACTGTCGGCACCCCAGAAGCCTGTCTCATGCCCCCTCCAAGAGACTGCCAGAAAATAATCAGTCTTCTGACTTTTGTGGCTATCACTTTCTGACATTTCTTTCTAGTTTTATCACCTAAGCATAAACCCATGGGAGCTCTGGTAGCATAGTGGCTAAGGCACTTGCCTGCTAACCAGAC